ACAATGACTGCCAGGTTTCAATCCAGTGACAGAAGAGGTGCTAAGGGCATTCACCCAAACTGAGAAGGCCACATGAGGGAATACACTTTGGGGGAGAATCTAGAAGTTAAGTTTTGGACATGTTGAGGTTTGTCTGAGAAGCATCTCAGCAAGTAAGTCTAAACTAACAGTTGGATATTTGGATATATGAATCTAGAGCTCAGTAGTACGGCTTGGGGTGGCTTTTTGTTGTTTTGCTTTTGCTTTTTTTTTGTTTTTATATAATGAGAGTTAAAGAAGTAATGCATAAGTCAGGCACAGTGGTGCACACCTAATAATACCAGCACCTTGGGAGGCTAAGGAAAGAGGATCACTTGAGCTCAGTATTTCAAGGCCAGCCTGGGCAACACAGTGAGACCCTTTCTCCAATTTTTAATATTAAACTATAAATATCACAAACACAGTATTTCAGAATTATAATTAAATGACTGCCCTTCAAATACTTCTTGCTCTATATGCAAAACTAAGTCATCCTAGCTGTCAGCATAAAATCAGTACTATAACTATCAATACTTATTACACATTAGTACAAACCTGATGGTAATGATGAAAATCAAACTTAATCAGAAATATATATTATATATTAGATGAGAATTAGCATAAAAAATAAAAGGTAATTCTACAATTATTTCTATAATAATGCATCTTACAAGATCTGGGGATAAATGCAAAGATAACATAATTAAAGTATCTCGGTCTATAAATTTCAGAAAAAAACACATTAGATGTATATATGGAAATATCACAATCAGACCCTCTGTATAATTAATACACACTAAAAAATTTTCAGAAAAAAAAGCAAATCATCAATATAATACCTCAATATTGTAGGATATGTTTGCTTTTTTCCTAGTTTTACTTCTGATTAACTTTCCTAAGTATAAATGAGATTAGACAGGGGCAAAAAAATGCAGGCTTTAGAGGTCTTGTTTATTTGAAAATAATATCCCTGATAATTTACCATTTGTGCTTTCTCTTATCTATGGATGTCTAACACACTATTGATACTTCACAGCCATTTTACCCAACTACTCAAACTGCAAATGTCTCAGGGAGATATTGCTTCCTGCAGGAAGACCTCCCAAACTTGAAGTCTAGTTGCAAGTTTTCTCTCACCCCATACACACCACAGTACCAAGACCTCATTTAACCTCAATTAAGCAACACTCTGTCCAATGGTCTCTTCCCCACAGCTCTAAGCTCTATGTGACAAGGACTTTCCATGCTATAGGCATAAGACACTTGTGTATGCAGGTGATGAACAAATACATGAAATCAATGAGTGAGCCCATCATCCAGTTCTATGACAACTATCGAGAAGGTTTATGCAAACATTTCTTACTATTGCAGGGTACTCAAACTAGGAATATGGCTATTTCTGTTTATAATCTAACATGACTACTTACTACATACAAAGTTATTCTTCTAGTTATTACACTTCATATCTCATGGCTAATCATTGGTTTATTATTCAAACAAGACAACACAAGATTTTCCTATTAAAAATTAAATGCTCATTTTGTGTAGTGGCACAATCCTGTAACAGGAGGCTGAGGCAGGAGGATCAGGAGTTCAAGGTCAGTCTGGGCTACTTAGTGATTTCAAGGCCAGCATGAGCTACATAGCAAGACCCGCCCAAATAAGCAAGGGCTGGAGATGTAGTTCAGTGGTATGGCACTTGCCTATCGTGCACAATCCCCAGCACTGTATGGTAAACAAATATTTGTATGGGATATATATAATTCAATCCTTTGACCACACTAAAAGTATAAGAAATTTTCAAGTAAGACTGTAATATTGTAGACAGATGATGTGGCACAAACCTGGAATCCCAGCACTCAAGAGGCTAAGACAGGAAGATCTAGAGTCTGGGCTACACAGCAAGACCCTGTCTCAAAAAAAAGAAAGAAAAAATAGAAAAACAACAAATAAAAAGATTTCAATATTGGAGTTTCAGAAAGATTGACAACCAGTTAAAATCCTTGATTTTAAAATAAAAAACCAGTCCAACGAGTTTAGAAAACCTTGGTAAAATCCCTTCAGTGCAAAGTGCTAGCATACAAGTAGTAGCATGTATTTTTTTTTCTTTAAATCCAAATAAAAATTTAAAAAATGGTTTATGAACAATTTCTCAGAATTTTTTTTAATGTTTTTTTGTTTTGAACACAGGGTCTCAAAATGTGGCCCAGGATGGCCAGGAATTTGCTGTGTAGCCCGGGCTATCCTCGAACTTCCAATTCTCTTGCCTTGGCCTCTGGAGTGCTGGGATTACAGATGTGCTCCACCATGCTAAGCTCAATTTTTTCATCCTATATAATAAGTATATAGTACACATAGAATAACCGGTTAAAATTTTATTAACTGTCAATACCAACTGCTGACAAGAATGAAGAGCAACTGAAACTCTCACAAATTGCTGGTAGGTCTGCAAAATGCTCTGGCCATTTGATACACAGTTTGGCAATTCAATAAAAAGGTACTGACATTGATCACTATGTCATAGGACTCAATAATCTCCTCATAGGTGTTAGTATTAACTGCCCCTCACATAGTCTTGCATGTAAAAGCTTTCACTATCTTTATTGATAATTGACCAAATCTGAGAAGAACTCAAAATATCCATCACTTCAGGAACTGACAAACTGATACCTTGACACAAAGGAATGCGACTCACCACCAACAAAAAAGAAACAGACTCAATGGCTGAAGCTGGCTGATGCCCACTCATGACAGTCCATTGTTAAAGTTTTCAGGATTTTTCCAAGCTGGTTAAGGGAGCTTAATATAGGCCATGGAGACAGTATTTGCCCTGCTATAATTAGCAAATGCTACAAATCAGGGATCTGGGAGCATGGGGGCAGGTTGTTAAAATATTTACCAGCCCATCACTGATCAAACAACTACTGCACACAACAACTTAATACGTGTCAAAAGCATTACACTGAGCGAAGGAAGACACAGAAAGCCGCACGCTGCAGAATTCATTTATAGGATATTCTAGAAAGGACAAAAGTATAAAGACATTAATTACATTAACAGTTGCCAGTCATAGAGGAAGAGGGCTGACTATAAAGGGGCATGAGGGAACTTTTTGGAGTGACAGCAATGTTCTGTGTCATGAATGTGGTGATTTCCCATCTGTACAAAGCTTTTACTGCATGCAAATTACATCTTAATAAACCTGGCTTTAAAAAATTAAAATAGATGTCATTAATTATTTTATGAATGAGAAATATATCATATGCACAATGGGGGAACAGGAACTTAGTACTACTAGGAAGGCAGATTTTGATACAAAAACAGAAACACAAAATTGTCAAAAAAAGAAGTGAATTTATAATCACAGGAAACACTAAAATCAGAGGGCGATAGCTCCTACTAAGAATGCAATAGAATGGTTCCCCCTTGGGTGTGATTTTAGTCCAATATCATTCATAGAAGTTAGAATCACGAAGATCTCTTTCTCCTGGGAGTCTATGACTCCAAAATCCCATGATATTATGTATTATTGTAATCTCAGATACATGGCCACTTCTAATTGATGTTCCAAAAGTAAGCCTAGTTTCAGGAGTGCTGGCTCTGAGTTTAGACAACATGGTTCAAATGTTGGCCGAACAATGTCTACATGACTTTGAAATAGTCTCTCTAAATATCTATTTCCCCATCTGTAAAATGAGATCAACATTTTCCTGAGATCTGGATAAGAATGCATAAAAAAAACCACATCTATGTGAGAAACTCTCAATTACAGACAACACTTAGAAACAATTAGAGATGAACTAAAATTATCTAATCTAATCCTAAGAAATCTAGCTTTCCAAATATAGAAAATGTATTCTTGTTTGTTTGATTGAGAAAGGGTCTCACTATGCTGCCCAGACTGGCCTGGAACTACTGACCCTAAGCAATCCTCCTGCCTCATCCTCTCAAGTGGTAGAATGACAGGCATGGGTCACCACACCCATTCGGTTAGGAAATTTATTCTTTAATTATATGTCCAGTGGTTTATAAGCTTTCATGGAGCCAGAGGCTTTTGAGAATGTGATGATTACATGGACTCTTTATCCAGAAAAAATGCAAATATAAGCTACATTCTGCATGTAATTTCTGGAGAATGCCTGATGTAAACTCTTAAAAACTGCAAAGGTGAGCAGTGGAATTTAAGCATCTTCAAAGTAGGGATCCACCTGACACTGAAACTATTACACTGCCATTTAATTTTTTCTCAGATTTTGTAAGTAAGACAAGAACATCATGTTTTCTAATTCACATCTCCTCTGTGCCCAAATTTTTAAGTTACAGCATATTTTTACATGAATGGATTTCAACTCAGGAAAAGAAACTTGTATTAAAAACCTGTATTTCCAGTTGCTTGAAATGGTTAAAAGTGTAACGCGCACCACTGATGCTCAAATATCGTTGAGTTCTCAAGCCAAATTCAATATATACATTTAATATAAAAACCTAGCAAGGTAATTCTCATACTTAAAGAGTCCCATGCTAAAAGTTTAATTTTTCTTTTTCAAGTAGGATTTTTTACTAGACCTATGCACTAACACCACATTTGGTTTTTTGGGGTTTTTTTTGTTTTTTTGTAAATCAGCACATTCTTGCTTCTGTTTTGTTATGTTTATTTGTCAGATGGTCTGATGGTGGAAACTAATTGTTCTAAATCTGCTACCAAATAAATACCAACCGGGAAATACGCTATCTCAACACAAAAGGTTTTGTTTTTCTTTTTTTTTTTTTTCAGACTACATAATAGCCACTTGCCAATCCATGCCCTTTACTGAACAAAAATAGTTCTTCGAATGCAAATGTGCCATTTTCCCACAGAAAACACCTAAGCAGTCTTAAGGTGCAGGACGTCCATGCAAGGGTTTACACCCGTAGTGTGGACCTATCGGATTATTTTGTGAAAGAAGACCTCGTACTGTAGCTCTCAGAATTCAATGGTCCAAATGGATGACACGCAGCGGCACTTCAGGCGCTGGTGGGAAAGGTCACTGGTTTCCTTAGCGTCTGCTAAGCCAGCACAACCCGGCACTGGGGCAGGAGCATCTCCGCGGCCTCCCGGGAGCAGGACGCAGGGGACGCGCCTGGGGAGGCCGCGGCCAGGGGGACGGAGGCCTGGCGCGCGCGGGGGCCGCGGGGGGCGCGGGGGGCGCAGACCCCGCGGGGCCGGCCCGACCCCAGCCCCAGCGCCGGGAGCCACCGGTTACGCCCCCGCCACTGATGACAGGCAACACCCAGCCCCGTCCTCCCCCACACCCCTAAATCCCCCCACCGCGCCCCGCGCCGCGGGACCCCCGTGAGCCCGACCCCGACGGCGCCCTCTCCAGGCCGCGGCGGAGGCCACGGGCCTGGCGCCAGCCGCGGTGGCAGCGCGGCCCCCGGGGGAGGACAGCTGGGCCGCGCGGCCTGTCCCCCCGGGCAGCGGGCGCAGGGCCGCGCGCGGGCAGCGCCTCCGCCCCGCACGAACAAAGCGGCCGGGCGCGCGCGGGTCGGGCAGCGCCGCCTGCGGGTCGCGGGACGCGGGAGGCTGGCGGGGACACTCACCGGAGGCCGGCGGGAGGGCCTGGTGGCCCCGAGCGGGGCGCGGCGGGCCGGGGGGCTCCGCAGCGGTGGCGGGCACGGTGCGGCGGGGCCCGGGAGCCGCACGGGCCCGGCTCGGTTCTGCGGCCGCAAGGTGCGGGAACGGGTCCGCCGGGCGGGCAGCGGCGCTAAGCGGCCGGGGCAGCGACGCCGCAGCCGGTCCCTTCTCTTGCCCTGCTCCCCGCTCCGCCGCGTCGTCCTGGTCGCTGGGTCCCCGCCGCCGCCGCCGCCTTAGCCTCGGCGCCCCTCCGGCTTCTCCTCTCCATCAAGGCCGGGCCGAGCCGCAAGGACCATCCCGGGAAGTGAGGAGTTGTTGCCGTCTCCCGCAGCTGCTGGTGGCCATCTTTAATCCTCCTCCTCCTTCTCCTCCTCCTCCTCCTCCGGCTCCTCCGCCTCCCGCGGGCTGCTGACTGACTGACTGACTCTGGATCCTCCTCTTTCCCTCCTGCTCCTCCTACCGAGCCGGCCGCAGAAATTGCAGCGGCTCTCGCGGCCCCCTCCCTGCCTTTCCTTCCTCTTTCCCGGCCGCCCGCGCTCCCCGCGCTCCCTCCCGATCCCGCGCACCCGAGCGGAGCCCCTGGTCCCCCTCGTCCCCACCCCGCGCCTCACCGCCCCAGAGCCACCTTCTCAGAAGACACAGCCGAGAAAGGACGTCCGCGCCCCTTCAACCTGCACCCATTTGCTGGATGCTGTCACACAGCATGGCCGAACGCACCCTGCGTTGATTTTACTCCAGCTGGAGCACAAAAGAACGGCCCATGCTAGCTATCTCGCTATGCAGCTCTCAAACTCCTGCTCGGCCTCCTGTCTGTGTGCCTCACGTCCATCATGGACCCAGGGATGAAGAGCCCAGTCTCAAGTGTGGCCTTCTGTCGGTCGGTGACCTTGACTCCATCGACTGAGATTTTCCTTCAGGGAAAAGGCCTTATTTATTCCTTCACTGTCCTAACAAACACAATGTTTGAAACAAGTTAAGTATGCTTTGGTCAGCCTACAGCTGCTAAGCGACATCAGTTTATCCCCTCAGTCAACCCCGCAGACAATTTGGGTCACGCTTCTGTTCTGGCCATAGGGACAGTCAGCAGTTAGGAGCGGACTGCCTTAAAACAGCTCAAAGGAGGGAAGTGGCCAGACCAAAGCTCTGATGTCAAACTTGTTTTTTCTAACTGCAGTCTACAGCAGTTTCAGGATTTCCTCTAATAAAGATGAAGCAACTTGGACTTGCTGTTTCCTTCTTTTTGCGAGTTTGCCTTTGGAATTGAACCCATTTGTAATGATTTGATCACTGACGGCAGTCAGGTTCGGTACTGCTGACAAACCCAGGGACATTTTATACATGTGAACACTTTGGGGGCCATGGTTTCTGCTGTGGGGCACCTGCTCTGAAGAAAAAGCACTTTGCCCTTTGAGAAGAAGACAACTAGATGTGTTCAAAGGTTATTCTCTTCAACAGACCAAACAGAGAGAAATGGCTTAAATTGTAGTCGTAGAGTCTTCAAAATGAGCAGTTTTTTAAATTCAAATTTAAGATTTTATAATCATAAAAATTTAAGTGCTACAAAGCTCTGAAAAGAAAGTGCCAAAACAATTTCTAAATTATATGTTAATAAAACTACTGGTAATCCTTAAGGGGGGCAGGGAGTGGTGCAGGATTGTTTCTCTTTGTTCCTGACAAAGTAACCTGTGGACAGTTGGGTTAAAGATTTCAGGAGCCATCTTTCAGCACTAGTAATTCTTCCGTTTGAAATCAACAGCTTGCACCATTGGCTAAAATTCTCTAAGCGCAAATAAATAAAGTCTTTGAGATAGCATTAATACATTTTGAAATAGATTAAAAAGACCAAGTACCGATGGGTGGAAGCAGTACATCCCCACATGTTCTGTTGTTTCCCTTTGGCCTTTTGGTGTTCATTCTTTATGTAGATTTTGTGTTTCTCCACTCTATCACTAGACCAAATTACCACAAAATTCTTGACTCTTAAGTATTCACCTACAAATATGTACGTTTAGAGAAAAAAGAAATATTGGATTACACAAATACATAGTAGGAAATAATTGGTTGACTTCTTTTTAAACATTGAGACCACCATGCATGTTAAGAGAAAGATTTTCAATTAAATATGAGGTTTCAGGACTCTTGTCATTGGATTTTGTATACAATGAAGGAAGAAATATTCTATGTTTTAAAATTCATTAATATTTTGACGATAAATATTTTCCTGTTGGAAAATATGTTGCCGTAAAGTGCTTGGATACATCAGTATGCTAATGCAGCAGTTTTCTTGTTGATGTCTTAAAACACAATCTCACAAAGATTTTTCCATTCTACACACAAAAATAAATGCAGCAAGCTTTTTTTTTTGTCTCTTTTACTGAAACCACAGAAGCATAAGCAGTGTAATAATGGATAGAACCCAGAGAAATCAGACCCCTCGTGTCTGCTTTTTTCTTTTCCAGCTCTGTTTCACATCTATCATCACAGCCCTTACCTTCTTTGGTCTTTGTTGCCGGCTAAATGTAGGGGTTTTGTCCTCTTAGGTTTAAGTTTTGTTTTTTTTTTTTAAATAGATCAGATTCTTCTGCAACATGATTATTGTTTCATGTAGATTCACTGTCAGATGAACTCAAGATCCTCCATAAAACAAAGACTTGTGGTTACAGTGGGATAAACCCTTTGTGCAGAGGACAGATGGAAGGAGAGAGAGGCATGTGCAGCAAACCCCTCTGGGAATAGAGGAGCAACCATGAAGGGCTATTTCTAAACATTTCTGCACCAGGAGCCTGGTCCCCAATTGAATAAGGTGACTGTGGACAACGGCAGTCCAGAGGATGTGCCTAACAACAAGTAAACAAAATCCATATATACTTTTAACATGATGGAAAGTTCTATGAACAAGAATAACAAAACATAATTTTAAATGAAAGGAGATAAAAAGATTCATGAAAAAGTAAGAGGAAGAATATGAAAAAATAGCAAAGAGCAATTTTGGAAATTGTTATCATCAGTATTATTGGAAATTTGCTATGTAAACCATTATTTCCTTCACATTTATTTTTAATACTAAAGAATTAAACTTGGGCTGGTGGGATTATCCCAAAGATATACACAAACAAATTCTAGAATTTTAAGATATTAGCATTATATAAAGTGCTAGGTGATGCTAGAACACAAAAGTTATAAGGAATTAAAGCTTTGATTGACACATTTAAAAATTCCATATGTAACTGTTATGCTTTAAACATATTTCTGTTTTCCCAGGCTATTAGCTACCACAGCAGAATTACCATACTGTTTTTCCTTGTTTGAAAAAACCAGATGGAAGAGAAACTGGGCAAGCAAATGAAAATCTCTGGGGATCATGGGAACTGAGCACTTACGAAAACCATATTCCAGGCAAGAAGATAATCTTAGGTAAATGTTTCAGTTTTATTCTTATGATCTCTGTTCCTTATAAAAAGATAATTAATATTTGCGTTTCACATCTTCCATTTCAAGTGAATAATGACATTCCATATTTATCTGCACAGATTGGAGTTTGGTATCATTCTTCACTCCTCAATTTAGAGAACTCCTTATAATTAACTGATGAGCTGCCCCCAAGACAGTGCCATTTAGAGTCATTACTGTGCTCTAATTGGGGAGAAATGCGTTTAGAAAGTTCCAATTAGAGTCATTCTCTCTTGCTCTTACAAACATATTCAAAGAGGGTATTGGAGCGTTTATTTGGTTTGGAGGTTGTAGAGCTTGGTGTATTGTCTGTGTTTGTGTTTATACTTAAGTAAATAATAACAGAAAAGCTTCTTTAAACTGCAGAGTAACAGCACCACATGAACAATGACAATTTTTATTCTTGCTTATCGTAATGATCCCAACCAGAATAGAGAAGGAGTATCCGGAAGATTTCATTAATAATGACTCGTACTTCAACATTAAGTTGACATCTCTAGATTATCAGTTCCTTCATATTTCTTTATGGAGTTGTGAAGAGTTTAGACATTTATGATGTCTTTATAATGTTTTTACAATTTAAGTATAGCAGTATGTGCAGTGGGTTTATTTCAATTATTAAACAATTTGGGCAAAAAAAATCAAATGACTTACTGAAAGTCACTTGGTACACAGAGTATAGAAATGGGAATTAAAATCCGGTCCCTTGACTCTATCTCAGAGTTGAAAGGGTTCATCTTACTAGTGAAAAAGGGAAGACTAATGAAACTTTTAACTGTGCAACGTTAGTAAACTTTATTTGAAGAATTATTGATCGGCCTGACCTTTATTTCTCTGAAATATACTAAAGAATAAAGTGTATTTCCTGTTTATAAAAATAAGAACAATTGTTTGTAATAAAACAAGTAAACAAGGAAATTGAAAAAGAGTTTAAGGAAGTTTAAATTGACTAAAAATGTATGAATTATTTTTAATCCACAACAGCCCTTATTCTAGAATATTTCCTTTTGGGTCAAAAAGTATAAGGTTAAGTCTCAAAAACACTGTTACTTTATGGATCGAGTGTCTCAGGAAGAGAACCCTCAGTTACCTAAATAAGGTAAAATACTGCCATCTGCCGACCAGAATGAAAAAATTAACCAGACAGCTATAAGCTAGGGTAACTATTACCATGCCTGACTTTTATCATACTAAAAAGTACTATACTAGATGCTGTACAATAATCAGTCTCCTAAATGGAAATTAGGACTATGTGATATATTGATATGTGGCTGTTGCTTTTACCATTATTTGAAAACAATTCAACAATTAAAATGGACTATATCAGTAGTATAACCATAATTGATTAAAACAATTTTATGGCTACAATGTAAATGAGGAAATAAACTTATAATCTGGAAATTTCAAATTTATTAAAATTTTTATAAATACTTTTGTTTGTAAATATATAAACACACTAAAATTAATTTAGAAAACAGAAGGATTTGAAGTTCAACTCATGACTCACTTACATAGCTCTGAAAATATTCAAGTGACTGGTATGCCAGAAACTCAATTGACTGAGGATAGATATATAAATAAGACCTACTGCCTGTCCTCATGGAGTTCACAGTGTAGCAAAAGAAACAGATGCCCCAGGCATGGTGGCTCATGCCTGTAATCCCAGCTACTCCAGAGGTAAAGATTGGGAGGATCACATTTCAAAGCCAGCTTCTGGAAGAAAATGTTAGTGAGACCCCATTTCAACTAAAAAAGCTAGGTGTGGTGATTCATGTCTGACATTCAAGCTACTCAGGATGCGTAAATAGAAGCATCATGGTCCAGACCCAACCCAGCAAAAGTCAGAGACCCTGTTTCAAAAAGGGCTGGTGGAGTGGCTCGAGTGGTGGAGTACCTGCCTAGCAACC